TTTTCTCTAAGTAGGTGAGACGGACATCCTATCGAGAATTTGAAGTTACCTTTTTATCAAGGAAAGCTCCCAAAGCCTGGCAAAGACCAACTGTGGTAGTAGACTTCCCTTCTCCAAGAGGAGTTGGAGTTATTCCTCCAACCACCACATAATACCCATCCTCACTTCCTCCAATCTCATCAAGCACGGATAACAGCACCTAGAATCACAATAAATTCGACATATCAGATCACCAACTATAAAAGAAAAGCCAATATATTAATATACACAAAGCGGATTTCACATCACATTCATGAGTATAACACTTCATTATAGTTTAAGGAACTCAATTTTGAAAAACTGCAAAATCAAAGTACCTGAAGAGTAATAATCACTCATCAACAAAAAGTAGTATTACAACATATGAATGATCCTTCCCATCTGTCCTAGCCTTGAAATTAGTCGAGGTGCCCAAAGATGGCCCGGACACCACGGTAATCAAGAAAAAACATATGAATGCTCCTAAACAATTCATATTTACATTGGCCAAGACTAGTTGGTATCATGTCATTGACTACACACCGGTGGAGAAGAAATAAACTTCTTTTGTTATTGAGAACATAAAAGGATGGTGCATCTCAATTACATTACTCTTCTATGTAAACCACGCAAAATCTAACAAATTATCAGCACTTACAAGCAGAAGAGTATAGCATAATAATACACCGGGGCAGAGCTACCCTTATTCGAGGGGAGTCAATTGACACCCCGCCATCGGAAAAAATACAGTGTAAAAAAGTCAAAAAGAATTATGTATATATACTACACATATGTTGAATTTTGTTGGCTTCTGTATGTTTAGTTCTTTATATTTTGAATCTCCTTAATGAAAATCCTAACTCTAGCACTGCCAATAAACATCTATTCTTCTAATCACCAATCAACATAGATAACCAAAATAATACAGCAGAGTACAAGTCAAAACACATTTTATCTCGATTCCAATTTTCTTCAACAAAGAAAGTAACTTTTCCAGATAATAACTATTAGTTAAGCGACCATATGAGAAACCAACTCGAATATATCTTTAACACATGAATCTACCTTCAATGGTAACATGTAAGAAAAGAAGAAAAAAAAGGTACTACCTTGGCTTTATACTTCCTATACAAATCATAATGGTGAGAGCTAAGATTGAGTTCTTGAGCAATCTCAGAATTATGAAGATGTCAAAAAAAATATGTATATATATATATATATATATATATATATATATATATATATATATATATATATATATGTTGAATCTTACTGGCTTCTTCATGTTTAGTTCTTTATATTTTGAATCTCCTTAACGAAAATCCTGACTCTACCACAGTCAATCAACATAGATTACCAAAGTAAACCAAAATAATACAACAGAGTGAGTACAAGCTGAAATCCAAGAAAGATCCTCAAAAAGTCACCTTTTTTTTCTTGATTCCAATTTTCTTTAACAAAGATACTAACTTTCCGAAATAATAACTATTAGTTAAGCGACCATCTAAGAAATTAACTCGAACATATCTTTAACACATGAATCTACATTTAAAAAGGTACTACCTTGGCTTTATATTTTCCATACAAATCATAATGCTGAGAGCTAAGATTGAGTTCTTGAGCAATCTCAGAAATATGAAGAGGTTGAACAGAGTTAGCAATATCTATATCTGCTGGAACAGGAGATACAATTTCAAGTTTCCTTGTTGTCTTTCCCATGATATCTTTTACACCCTTTTTTACCCCTTTACTAAAAACTTCAAAATCTTGATTTTTCCTTCAATGGGTGTTTCCAAGATTGGATTTTTAGATCAGAAAATGGTTCAAAATGAAGAAAAAAAACAGTCCAAAGTTAATTATTGGCAAAGGGTGTGTGAGAAAAAGAAAAAAAAAAGAGTAGTTGGCTTTGTTGAAGAGATGTTGACGCTTTAGCTTAGATAATCCTAATTTTGAGGCCTTTCTTGAAAAGAACTTTATCTAATGTGTGATGCATTGAACTTTGTGCCATCCAGCATAGATTTTTGTGGCAGATTTGAGTTTTAGGCCGACAATTAGGGGGTGGGTGAGCGTGGGGGTGGGGGAGAAATTAGTACTCCCTCCGTCCCATTTTATATGTCATTCTTTTTTATAAATAGTTGGTCCATAATATTATCAATACATAAATTATTATATTGTTTCTTTTTTATCCTTGTGAGTTATTAGACTTGAAAATATACATTTGACCAACTTAGAAAAGTTAAATAAATGATCCATGTTCATTGAAAAGAACAATATGTTAATTTATGCATTTATTTTATGAAATGACAAGTATTATGGACCAATTATTTATAGAAAAGGATGACATATAAAATGGGACGGAGGGAGTAATATTATTTGTGTAATTTTTAAAAATTTTGTTGATACCTTATTCGATACGTATAAGACCTGATTAAATTTGAATTCATGCATTGCAGAACACGTTTTCGAGGGTATCTTTTCACTCACATAGACTTGAGTATATGTACACTTAACACACGAATTTTGTGCAAGTTGCAAAAGAAAAATCGGGAAAAGTTATTTGGAATTCCATTAAAAAAATTGGCATTTTAGGTCTAATGTCTCATCGAATTTCTCCCAATATATGAAGAGTTAGAATGCGCATAACCCGTCAAATTGAAGGTTTATAAGTCTAGTTTCCAATGCACTAAATTATTGATCCATACGACTTCAGAATAAATAGATATTCACATTTTCGTGAGACTGCACATGTGCCTTGATGCGGGTCCTCTAGCCCCTCAGTCGGTGGTCCTGGTCCTCCTTGCTCCTAAGTCGGTGGTCATTTATAATATATATTCAATTATTGTTTGTTTCAATTTATATGATATAAATTAATTATAAGAAAATTATGTTTAAAAAAATCTATTAAAATATGTCTATGTTACTATAAAAACATGTGATAAAGGTAGAATGTTTGATTGTATTGTTTTCCGTTCAATTTATATGATGTAATTTGATTAAGCATAACGTTTGAAAAAAGAAAGACTTTATTAACATATTGAGAAATCATAAATATTAACATGTTGAGAAATCATAAATTTAAAATCTTAAATCTATTTTCATATTTGGCTGACAATAAAGTACGCATTAAAGTTAAAATGGAACAATTAAGAATTATGATAAAATAGATATGATTTCTTCATTCTTAATAAAACATTTTTGAGAATGAAAATTTTTAATTAGTCCTACACAATATAAATCCAAAGTTAATAGGTAATAATATATCAAAATACTTGTTGCAACTACCAGGATTTATTTTTTTATTCAATAGATTAAAGAATAATAATAGTAGCTATTTTTTAAATAAATTATTTGCATTGAGATTGATGAACATATATTATTCCCACTTTACTGGTAAATTTAAATATGTTAAAAAAAAGTCCATCTTGAAGATTCTCTTTCAAAATATTAATTTAAAATTATCCACTTTCATTTTTCACTCACGAGTAGGGGTGTTCACAGGTTGGTTTTGATCGGTTATTGGTCAAAACCAAAAACCAACTTAATCGGTTTTAAAATTATCAAAATCAAACCAAACCAAATATAATATACATTTATCAGTATGGTTGTTTTCGATTTTGGTTTGGTTCGGTTATTCGGTTATTAACCATACATAAAAATAAAAGAAACAATTCATTCAAAACGTGAAAAAAGTGACAACAATCCATTCAAACGAAAAAATAGTTAGAATGACTGACATTACAGGACTTTGGATCATTGAATTTACTGAATAAAACTTCAAAATTCACTATTTTGGCATAGAAGTTAGAGACAATGACATTTGTAGTCCCACAATGAATTTCCATAGACACTCATATACATGAAACCAATAAGAAAAATGTTCTCACCTTGGACATTTTTTCTTTCATAAGTAAATTATAAATAAATTTTGATGAAACATATATAAAATCTTTAATATTGTTTATGAATATAATATATTATGTATGTTTAATAATAAAATTTATGTATATAACTTGTTGGTTCGGTTCGGTTCGGTTATTTCTTCGATTTTTTTCGAACAAAACCATAACCAAACCAAATACTATCGGTTCTTAACAACCTGAAACCAAAATCCAAATTAAATCGGTTCATTTAATCGGTTTGGTTTGGTTTTTCGATTTGGATCGGTTTTTATCCAAACCATAAACACCCCTACTCACGAGACAGATTTTTTAATTTATTTTCAAAATTTAAATTCGAAATTTATGATTAAAAATGAAAAACTATACCTATCTGTCTATTAAAAATGAAAGAATTATAACCTCTTGCTCCAAATACAAACACCATCTTTTTATTTGAAATCTTTTTTCGTAATAAAGAGAATTTTTTTTTATTTTTTCTGAAGTAAAGACGGTTGAATAACGACCATTGATGAGGGACCGTTGAATTTAAGGGAATAAAGTGTAGCTGGATGCAAATACGTAAAGTAAGATGAAGTTCACATGTTAATAAATGATTGTACTAGTCGATTTTGGACAAAAAGTGCGATTAATTGAATCCATATTTTCTTTATAAGACAAAAAACAATGATTTATATTAAATGGATTAATATAAATAAATACTTTATGTTAACTATTTCCAAAGCCAAGAAATAATAATTATAAAAGTTTAATTAAGTGGAGATGCGGGGTATCGATCCCCGTGCCTCTCGCATGCTAAGCGAGCGCTCTACCATCTGAGCTACATCCCCTTTTGTATACTATATAGTTTTTAACTATAATTAATGATTTTACCTTCTTCAAAAAATTAAAACTCCCTATATTGTAAAATATGAGATTATTTTATTTTACGTTTAATTATGAGTATTGATTCATCCAAAGTTTTTCTTACCCCACTATTTGTATTAAAATAGTGGAAATTATCTTTATCTATGTCATCCTACATACCAAACGACCCCTTAGAGTGATACAAATAAAAAATATATACGTTTTCTAATAAGCGGTTCAAAAAAAGAGAGACATACTATTGAAGAACCTTATGTCAAAGTCAAGAGTTGAGCACCTTTCTGATAAACCGGACAAAATTCTTAACATATAATATATATTTTAACAAACTCTCGAGGAGCACTCACAATCTTAGAGTTGGAGGTAGAGGGTCCCAACGTCATTTTAATGAACCATCAAGTTTCTGAAGGTATTGATGTACAGTTAGAAAAAATGCAAAATGGGAACCAGCTAACGATCAAAAAGAGAGCACGTTGTCATGAGACTTTCTTGATAATCGTGGTGTAGGAATCAACTTGCGCGAACAACATGTTATCGGGAGACTTGTCATGTTAGTGTTCCAAACCTTTGATCTTGTCGAGATAGTTCTGCATTTGCTGCTGAACCTCTGGTGTAAGGCGAGCTCCGGCCATCGACTTGTACTGTTGAAATTTGAATTCATCACATTTCAAAGCTGCAGCTCTACATGCCCTGATACTACCTGGGAGGAGAAAATGTAAAAGTACTGTGTTATATTTGCTGCAAAGTAAACCCATCAATGATATAAGGTCTCGGGTTGTGATGGGATGATTAGAAGTCTCGGGTTCTAGCCCTGAAAATGGAAATAATCCTGGTAGAGAGAAATTCCTCCTTTAATGGGCCTCAAATAGCGGGAATCTGGATTAGTCAGGACCCCCAAAGTGGTACCGGACAGGCGGACACCAGGTAGGAAACCCAATGAACAATGTTAAAATGATTTCAAAAGAGAACGTTTGTATTGCCCTAAGGCTATGTTGCTTGGACTCTTCAAAAATGTCGATGGATCCATGTCGGATTCTCCAAAAGTAGTGTATTTTTGAAGAATCCAACACGGGTGTGGCATCATTTTTTAAGGTCCCGAGCAACATAGCTCTAAGACACGTTTTTTTGACACTACAACTCACCACTTAGGTCTAGCAGGTTGAACACCACGGGGCAACTTCCTATACTCCTGACCATGGTTATTGAAGCCCAAACTTTTTGATACTCCTCCCGCGATGCTCGTATGATACAAAGTTTTGTAATTGGATTCACATACTTCACTGCACAAAATATGAACTTTTGAACCTGCGCCAAGATTTCCACAAAGAGGAAAACAGAGGCAAAAGCCGTGCTCAAAAATATAACTTAAACTAATCAAACTCACCTTGAAATGAATTTGCTGATGAGGCGATGCCACACTCACCAAAGTTTGTAAGAATGACGTCCCTGATGGCTTTGGTCAAGTTGAATTGAGTGATTACGATGGGCTCATCTGATGCAGTCGCTTTATTTGGATCCAAATAAACCTCCATAACCAAGTATCTATTCTTAAATCCCACCATGATCTTCTTTTACCTAATGAACGACAGTTTAAATAACATAATACACATCAGAGTAAGCTCTGGAGTAACAGAAACTTCCAAAGAAAATCAACAGATAAAATGCATTGGTTAAGAATATGTAACTTCCTACAATTGTATAACAAAAATAGGCATGTATATAATCTTTTCGGGATGAAACATCCATGGCAGAAGTAGGATCGGTTGCTTCTATAAGCTATAGTCTATATATGCAATTCCAAATCACCTTGTTAGCATAAAGTGAATTCACACGCTTAAATTGAATATAATCACGATCAAAATGCATGATGGATTAGCATAGTCAAAATTGGATTATTATTTTTTACAAATGTGCAATAGCACAACAACAACAGCATACCCCGTGTAATCCACCAAGTAGGGTCTGGGGAGGGTAGGATGTACGCAGAGAGGTTAGGTTGTTTCAGAAAGACCCTCAGCTCAAAACAAAAGTAACATAAACAAACAATGAATAACCATAAGTAAATAACATTGAGGTTTAAACTAAAAGGAAAAATAAAATCCATGCATCAAACAAGAAACAATCTAAACTGAAGTGACAAGACTTTTCATGTTCACCAAAACACTCAAGTTCACACGTGTAATATATCTATTTGACGACAAACATAATACCATTTACAAAATGGTAAACATCATCAATTCAAAAGAAATCTCAAAAAGCAGATTCATAACGTCTAATTTCAACCTAAATCATCAATTTAAGGACCGCAATAGGCACAGAATAAAATAAAAAATGAGCAATAAGGATAGAATTAAGAAACTGACTTTCTATTTGTTCGATTCTAGGTGTGATTTCAACACCCAAAAATGGTTAAAAGAACAACGCTTCTGGTTTGATAGACAACAGGTGGCAGTTATGCGGTAGCTGGTTTTGAAGACCAAGTTATGATCAATGTGGAGGCTGAATGGATCGAGAAGGTCATGTGATGGGTAAAGAGAATAGCTAGTTATGGTGATTAGAGGTTAAGGTTCTATTAGTTTATGTGGAAAGGAGTAGAAAAAGATGAGAGGAGGCAGAGGCTGATCAAGGATTTGGAGATACCGGGTGCCAAATTGCTTTGAACAGAGACTCGGTGCTATGTTCATGGTCCAAATAAGGTATACCTTCAGTCAGTTTGATCTATTTCAGACAACGGTTTGAGTAATTCCTCTTCTCTCTAAATATCTTATTCTTCGATTTTAGTGTTACATGTTGTTTCCTTTACTTCAGTTATCGTACATTCTGTTGTTGTTGCTACGTATTCTTTTCTTAACTGTTTCTAGCATGACATCTACACTTACTATATTTGCTTAATTACTTGAGCAAAGGACCTATCAGAAACAGCATCTTAACCTTTATAAGGTAGGGGTAAGACTGTGTACACACCACCCTCCCCAAACCCCATTTGATATGTTGTTGTTTGGGTTATTCATCTTCTCAATTAATATATTCAAATCGATCAATAGGAAAAAGGTGATGATAACTATGATAATCTAGCAAAGTATAAACTTTCACAATAATACATCTTCTCTTTGTCTTATTCTTCGATTTTAGTGTTACCTGTTGTTTCCTTTACTTCAGCTATCGTACATTTTGTTGTTGCTACGTATTTTTTTCTTAATTGTTTCTAGCATGACTTCTTCACTTACTATATTTGTTTTACTTGAGCAAACGGCCTATCGGAAACAACATTTTAACCTTCCTAAGGCCGGGGTAAGACTGCGTACACACCACCCTCCCCAAACCCCACTCGATATATTGTTGTTTGGGTTATTCATCTTCTCAATTAATATATTCAAATCGATTCTAGCAAAGTATAAACTTTCACAAAAATACATCATCCATTACCCCATTCTTACGGCAGCTCAAGCTACAAACCAAATCGTAACAAGATAAAATAGCTCGGATTTATGGCAATTCAAAGAGCTCGGATTCAAATCGAGCTCTCTTATTGAGAATACTAAAAAAAAAAAAAAAAAACTAGGTTTCTGTGAGGAAGACCAAATAATTTTCACCTGCAGAAAATTTAAGTACGTAAAAATCAAGTTTTTGGTGTAACTCGAGCAACTTACTGAAATTCGGTGATGGAAGAAACACGACCCACGGCGGGGGAAGTAGCGGCAGCACTGCGGCAGCCCGGCGGAGGGCAGCAGCGGAGGTTTTTGATTTTTTTTATTTTTATTTTTGTTTGAAGGGGAAGGAATAACATTGGCTAATGCATTGCCCTTAGAAATTTGTCTACTAACTTTCTTTAAACATTTTGTTCGGTGATTACTTATTGTTTCATAATATATCACATTATTATGTTTTACGAAATAACGCTACAAATTGGACTAATTAATGTAACTATTTACTCAAATTGGACTTAATCCAAACTAGTTATTCTTAATGAGACGCATTAAAATACAATTATCCTTGATATCATCGGAGTATATATATAGTTGAATTAATCACAGCATAACTTGAATTCAAACCAAACGACCCCTAATGGTATTAAGGAGTAACTGAATAGTGTTTTCACTGAAGCACTTTTTTTTCTTCTTTGATATCATCAGTATCAAGTAGGGGTGTCAAAAATGAACTCAAACATAGGTAACCCGCCCAAAATTTAAAGGGTCGGGATCAAGATAATTTGAATTGGGTTCAATCTCAACCCATTCAAGTCTAACTCATTTTAAGATAATCTTCAATTAAGCCCAATTCAATTTCCAATTTCAACTCGTTTTAAAACTCTTTGCTAAGATATGTTCTTATATTAAAGTTATGAATTATTATCTATTTAACATCTTTAGGATTTATCTATTCATTTATTATTATTTTTTAAAAAAATCTTGAGCGAAAATTCGAATTGTGATTATAAAAGTTAAATATCACTATGTTAAAATTATTGAGATTAATCGAGTCAAATTGGGCGGGTCAAGACCCACCCCGTTTTTTAGCCCATTTGAGCCCAAAGTAAACTTGGACGGGTCAAGACCCAGCCCAATTTCTATCTCAACACATTTAAATATCTCCAATTTCAATCCAACCCGCCCATTTGACACCCTTAGTATCAAGCATCAATTTAGCTAGTTTTCATTGAATCACTACTCCTTCCTCCTTGATACCATCAGAATATATATAAACTCTGATGGTATCAAACAGTAATTGAAGAGTTTTTTTCACTAAAATACTGCATGTCCCTCCTTGATACCATCGGAGTATATATATATATATATATATACTCCGATGGTATCAAAGAGTAATTGAGTAGAGTTTTCACTGAAGCGCTGTTTTTTCTCTTTGATACCATTAGAGTGTATATATACTTTGATGGTATCAAGCATCAATTTAGCTAGTTTTCACTGAAATCACTACCTCTTCCTCCTTGATATCATTTGAGTATATATAAACTCTAACGGTATCAAGCAAACAGTTTTTTCACTGAAGCACTACATGTCCCTTATTGATATCACCGGAGTATATATATACATTCTAATGGTATCAAGAAGTAACAGAGTAGTATTTTGACAATTTACGTTCTCATGATGAATTGTAGCAGTAAATCGACAGGATTGTATTTCTTTAATTCAAAATAGACTTTCACGCCTATGTTATTCATAATTCTCAGTGATGGAAATCTGTGTGAAAGTGCATATTTGATTTCAAAATTACTTGTAGCAATATCCTTCTATAGTTGTGTTGCTATTTTTTCAACCAGATCTGTGAAATTAGAAGTTGAATTGACTAAAATTGCATCAACGTGATAACTATTGTAGTGGTTGTTTGAATCACAAGTTCTATTGTGATGCACTCAAATTATAACGTTATCCATCACCGAAATTCGCGTAGAAGGTAGTTTGGGGAAGAAGAAGACAACTTTGGAAAAGAATGAGGCAAAATTCACATGAGTAGTTTTGCGCTGAATTATTAAAAAGGGGGTATAAATGGGGTATCAACTTGTAAATAGTTTCGTTTTTTGGGGTACAAGTGTTATTTTTCCTTGTTTTAATGAATACAATGTTTGACTAAATTGTATCATTTTTTGTCGTTATATAATGTCACACATCTATAATTTGATGATAAACCTACAAGAAAATTAAAATATCGGGTAGAGCTATTATGAAAAGGTAGGGTAAAAAATAAAATAGAATTATTAAATAATAAGTAAAGATAAAATGAGTTGAAAATGTTAAGGTAACGAAATGATCGCACAAATCGATCGTTACATAAAATGAGTCTTTTCGTTGTTACCTCACGATGGATTTAGACGATATAATACAGTAAATTTAAGTAACAATCAAAATAAACATTGTATTTAAACCAACAATGCAATATAACGGATAACAGCTATTCGAACAAGGTGTTAGACACTCAAATTACGATTTGTTGCAATCGATCACAAACACATGATAGAATATACTTAGCAAAATCTATTAGCAAGTTTAAGATTAGAAATTGAGGTTGAAATTTTATGCATATTTCATAAATAAGTGGTCTTAAATTCTATGACCAAACATCTACTTACTTCTATATATACGTATCAAATTTTTATCGAACTTTGGAGGTGATGGTGCACGACTAACCTAATAACTTTTGACCCCCTAAAAGTTAGTTTGGTAAGGAAATAGTAAGGGCTCACTTTAGGTTAAAATCAAAATATTGAAGGGAAAATGTAGAACAAACATTAATTTATAACCATGTACAAAATTATTAATCACTTATAAGATAATTACCTATGCATTACTTAATTATCATTTTATTTAGGGATAAGGGTCTGAAAAATATCTCAACTTTGATCGATTTTGCTGTTGCGATACTAAACTTTCATGAGGACCTATTACCTCCCTAGACTATTTAATACCGGATTTTAAACATATATATTTGCCCACGTGGACATAAAATATAATGCAAAATTATAAATAGTAATGTGTCCACGTGGGCACATATATACCTTTAAAATACACTATTAAATAGTTCAGGGGGTAAAAAATACGGTATTAAATAGTCTAGGGAGGTAATAGGTCCTTATGAAATGTTAGTATCACAACAGCAAATCCGATCAAGGGTATTTTTCAGATTCTTATCCCTTTTATTTAAAATTGGTAACTAACTAAGCGGGTATTTGGCCAGATTATGGAGTAGATTCTAAAAAAAAAATTCTTTTAACAATTTGTATAGCCATTAATTTTGAAAACAGTCTTTAACAAATTTTCATGTTCTACAAAATAATTTTGGGGACTTCACTTACAAAATTGTTTTTTTTTTAAAGTTCAAGTAAAAATGTATATTTAAATACAATTTTTAAGTTTTAAAAATTTAGATTTTTAAAATATATGGTCAAATGGAAGCTAATTTTATTTCACTCTGTTTGGACGTGATTTGAAATCAGATTGATTAGAAGTTAAAGTTTTGTTTGGACATACAATTTGAATTTCTTAAGTTATGTTTTTTTTTTCATAAACATGAAAACACCACAAGTTATTAATAATTATAAAAAAATTCTCTAATTCTTATGCAATCTACCAAATGAGCAAACTATAATTCATACCATCTTACCAATTTACATCTTAAAAATTGAACCTACTGTTTGAAAACCTGATATTTGTAATCATAATTTTGAAATTAAAATTCTATTTAGCTTGTATTTGAACATGTGATATGAAGTCATGATTTCAAATCAACGTTCAAACATGTGATTTGAAATTCTGATTTGAAATCAAATTCTCCAAACAACATAATTTGATATTTCAAAGCATGATCTCAATTAATTTTTTTTAAATGTAATTGTTGACTATAAGTTTAATTTATATATATATATATATATATATATTATCATTTTAAAGTTTGCAAAAAAAAAAAAAAAGACGCATGCTCAGCATGAAAAAAATAATTATATCGTGAAAGAATTATATTAAAGAATAGTTAGTTACTACTATTATTGATTTATGCATCCTTATAAAATTGTGTATGTTTGAAATCTTATAATCGCAAATATTTATTTATAAAAGAACACAAAATATGAAAATCTTATAATCACAAATATTTGTTTATAAAAGAACACAAAATATACAATTTATCAACGCGACACAGTAAAATATTTTGGTATCTTATTTAAAATTATAGTTTGCTCATTTTCATAGAATTATATAAAAATTAGAGAAATTTTGATAATTTTCACAATTTATGACATTTTCATAAAAATAATCATCCAAACTTCAACTTCAAATAGAATCTAATTTTAAATCACTATTTTTCATGTCCAAACAGGACCTTAAAGTAGCACTACAAATATGAACACTTGATAAATCTTTCATCCATTGATACATATTTATGAAGCAACAAAAACTCCAAAGAGTAGAAGAAAAAGAAATTTGAGAGAGAAGTAAAACCCTAGTTTTTCTTTCAATTACAAAGCCCCAATTCACCACCACCGCTGCTCGCCGGCCAGTTTTCCGGTCAGGTTCATTTTTTGAATTTTTTTTATATATATGTTTTTCAATGCTATGTAAGATTTTCATTTTAGATTGCCATGTGAAATTTTGTTTTGTGTGTGGAATTGATTTTGTATAATAATTTTATTTATTTTTTGTGTCTGTGTATATGCCCTTGTTCTGTGTTCTGAGAATTTGTGTTAGAGATATGAAAAAAGTTTTAAATTGATAATGATTATGTATGGTTACTATTAGAAATGGAAATAGCCTTTGTGTGTGTCTCTACGAGGTACGGGTAAGCTCTGTGTACAGTGGGGTGTGTTGTTGTTGTGATTTTGTAGTTATGTTGAGGTGATTCACTTGGTTTTAGAAGATCTAAATCCCGGTATTACTATTCGGAATAGTTAGATTTCCGACTTTGTTGCTAGTGGGAGGTGACATGTATCTAGTGGAATTAATTGAGGTGTGCGAAAGCTGGTTTGAAGACCACGGTTATCATAACAAAAATAAAGAATAGTAGCTTTCCCCCTTTTGAGTTTTGATGAGTACTTGAATTTTTTTTTTTTTTTTTTTTTTTTGTATGCTCTTGTTATGTGTTCTGAGAATGAGTTTGAGATATGAAAAATGTTTAAAATTGGTAATGATTATGTGTAATTACTATTTGAAACAACCGATCTCTCTCTACGAACTATGAGTAGGGGTAAGGTTTGTATACACTGGCGTATGTTGTTGTTGTTGTGTGATTATGTGTAATGATGTTGAAATGATTCACTTGGTTTTAGAATATCTAAATCCTAGTATTACTATTCGGAATAGTTAGCTCTCCAACTTTGATGTTGGTGGGAGGTGACAGGCATCCCGTGGAATTAGTCGAAGTGAGTGAAAAGATGGCCCCGACACCTCAGTCTTCCCCCTTTGAATTTTGATGAGTATTTGAATTGTATATGATGATAAGCTTCTTGAATCTACCTTCAATCAACAGAAGAAGAAGAAGAAGAAAATTGAATCTGATCTTGCATAAAAAAATCTTGTCATTCGGTGTTAGGTGTTGCATCTGCTTGCGCAAATTCTGCCTGTTGTGTTGTGTTGCTTCACGGAATCTCAAAAGATGACAAAGAGAGCGGCAATGTCGTCTTCTGCTGTGTCGGTTCGTGATAACGTGATCAATTTGGAAGGTATTTAATCTCTTGATAAGTATGAATGATGGCATCATGTTCGTTCAGAATCTTTGTCGTTTACCTAAAAGATTTGTTTACTATTATTTCAGTTTGTGAAAGATCAATCCGTTCAGAAGGTGAATCTCTCAATAAGTTGGATGATGATACACTCGTTCAAATTCTTTGCGGTTTACCCCTTAAAGATGCGGCAAGAACGAGTGTCCTTTCACGTAGATGGAGGCACTTATGGCGCCGTTCACTCATATCTCCGTTGAATAATATGTAAATTTCCATCAAGAACCGAATGCTAGTACTGTGACCCGTAAAGTGAGTATTCTTGCATAAATTTTCTAGTCCTTTTTTAAACTCAAGCTTATTCCTAGTTCTATGGATGATTAGATTTATTTTACCATCAAGAAGCAAGTCAAGAGCTTGTTTTACAGCTCCAATTGAGAAACAATTTATTCCGTTGATGAAGTGCTTTTATTTATTTGTCGTTTCATAAGTTTTCTCGTTTACATGTTAACAAGGAAGAAATCGAAACCTTTTTTATCAAATCTGCATTATCTGGAACGTTCACGCATAGGTGATATGTCTCCGAAGAATTGAAAGTAAACGACACATCACTGTCCTTTTGGAGTTTGATGTGTGCTTTTACATTCACAGAGTTACTTTGTTGTATTCAATTTCTAAGCATTCCATTGTAGGGCTATAGTCTTTTAACATGTATAGTGATATCAAGGCTCATTCTCAGCTCATAAAGCTTGTCTCGGAGTGATTGTGGTCAAGCTTGATTTTGACTGGTTCTACTATTTTCAAGTGCTCGAATTTGACACAACGATGCAAATTAAGTACTATAGACTTTCTTTCATCCTTGGTTAGCGTATTTCCCTTGATATATTTAAAATCGTTGTGTGGAAAAGAAAGAGAATCGTAGTGTATCTAAATTTTAACCTATATATGTCGATTGTCAAGATATACTCCCTGTAAATACGTATTTAACGGATTCTTTTTTGCCATCACATTGCAGTGAATCTTGAGATGATGTTTATAAAACAGATGTTGTGAAGATAATAGAGAAAGCAGAGGAAGATAGCAAAGTTACCTTTAGGTGATTTACATGAAAATGTTCATAGCTAAAATATTTTAGATACTTTTTGTTGTTCTTTGGTTCATACCAAAGATGTTCTTTTTTTCTTTTCTTCACCCCCCCCCCCCCACCCCAAAACCCCCTTTTAAGTTAATGTGACATTTGGTTTATGGAATTGCATGAAAAATAATCAGAAGTGTTCATCCAACTTCTGATTTTTTCTTTGCAAAACATAGAAGGAAATGCATATTTGTCATCCTACAAATAGAGCTTCTTTGTTGTCTTTTCCCTTTCTTGAAGTGGACGTTAACGTCGTGTGATTTACAAGAATGACCTTGGAGGAGGTCGATGTCTGAACTTTTGACCTCGCGGACAAAACTTCTAATCTTGAAGCTTTGCCCGCGCCAAGGTCATTGAGGTGTAACTTATTGGTAAACGACACATAAAAGAATACTTGAGCCTAGAATCTATCGGAAACAACCTCTCTATCTTTATGAGGTAGGGGTAAGGTCTGTATGTGTTCTACCCTCCCGAGACCTCACTTGTGGAATAATACAAAAGACATGTTTCTTCAATAAACAACATTTCTTCATAAAAAGGAAAGGAACTTAGTCTACCAATTGAAGTAGATTCCAAATCTCAAATTCATTTTCAAGAAAGGCATAAAAGATTGCAACATAAAGTAGTATATATAATAAGGTCCTAATAGACCTAAAAACTCACAACTTAATTGTCTTTTTTACAATCTTGAGTAAATTAATCTCTGTGAAATGGAAAATATGAGATTCAAAGCTGAAACTGTGACAAGCAGTAAATTAAAAGGAACAACATGGGAAGATGTTGATGTTGGTGATATTGCAATGATTTCTATTTCTTATGGAAGAATAGTTAGCCATCTCCAATTTTTATATGTCAAAGATGGAAAATTTTCTCCTTCAGTGAGACATGGTGATCTTATAGAAAATCTTGAAATTGTAAGTTTCACTTTTATATGTTTCGTGTCGTGTCTTCTTTATTGCCGTATTTACTTTTCCAAAAATGTGTCAATGGTCTGTCGGAAACAGTCCTTCTACCTCCGTGAGGTAGGAATAAAGTATGCATACCCCATGGCCCATATCATGGGATTTACTTAGCATGTTGTTGTTATTGTTGTTGTTGTACGTATCAATGGTCTATCTGCTCCACGAGGTAAGGGTAAGACGTGAGTGCATTCTGTTATCCTCCTCAGATTCCACTGTAGGATTCACTTGGTATGCTGTTGTAATTTCTTATGTTTTGTTGAAGCAAAACTATTTTGTATAAAATGAGTGACTTAATTGCTTTTTGTACTAATGAATCTTACATAAACTAAGGTATATATGAAATTGTCAATTAAATAATCACCAATTTGTTTGCTCCAATGGAGATTTTGTTCTTCATTAAACATGGTTTGCCTTGATTTAAATTGACTCTCAAAAAAAAAAAAGTTTGTTGTTACATTATGATTTCATTATCTATGATTGAGTCGTAAATTTTTTTGAATAGGATATACGCTACATCTCAATCAAGTTTATTTTGGTATCTTTTTTAGTTGCTCGAGAAAAATTAGGAGATTTCTATAAGAGATACATGATTCATTCTACTATTGATTAGTAATGTATCAACAATGTTCATCGAGAATTCAGATAGTCGATAACAACTCACTTAAAACTCAATCATAATTGATGATTTTTACTCTTGATACAATAACATGTCTTGGTCCATTTAAGGATCATACCAACATTCTTAGGTTAATTTCACATGTGGTCACTAAATTGTTTTATTAGTAAAAATAAGAAATTATTTCTCAAGTCACTAAATCCACAATAGATACACAATCTTACTTTTCATACAATAACATGTCTGGTATGTAAGTTGATGTCACATGTGGTCATCGAACTTTACCCGTTATATAAGTAGAGTCACAAAACTATCTTTGTATCATTAAAATCACTAAACTTTACCTGTTATATACAAAACTAACCCCAAACATTTAATTTTATCTAACAATTTTTTTTTAAGAATTTTCAGATCAAGCTGGATTATCCATCTGAATATTTGATTGGAATAAATGGTCGACATGGAAAAGTTGGAACAGATGGAGTTTTGAAATCAATTACATTTGTGACAAATAAAAATTCATATGGACCATTTCCAAAAAATAAACCTACTTATATGGCAACTGAAGACACAGAATTTAATATAAATGCATTGGATTATGGTTGGCTCAATGGATTTCATGGCACAATTTATGGTAATCAACTTGAAAGTTTTGGAGTTTACATTAAACCAATGCCAATTATTACAACTCCAAAAAAAGATATTGATTATGAAAAAATTGATGTAATTGAGGGTTGAATGTGCAAATTGTAAAAGTTCATGTATGTACTTGTTATATAAATGATATAAAGATCTGTCGAGGTTCATGAAAAAAAGATATTTACTTTTCGTGTTAAGTCAAGAACTTTAGCACAATGTACTGTGTATGTGTAGACGAGTTTGAATGGGAGAAGAATAAAGCAGTATATCTTTTTATGTTGATTGAACAGATTCACACACTCTAAACAACCCCACACAAGCATCAATGGTTATTCTAAGACTCGAATTTGTACCCTATTGATCATACAAAGAGAATTTCAACTAAGGGTGCATTCAATACAAAGAGGAAAAAATAAGTGAATTTTTTTTACTTATTTTCATGTTCGATACATTAGCAAAATACATTATTCTAAAAACCTTCGTATATTCCAGACAAATACTATCGAAGGTGGGAGTGAAGGTAGAGAGTGTGAGGTGGTGAGGATGTACTATGTAGGCTTCAAGGGGGAGGTGGTGGTGGTGAAAATAAGGTATTGAATGGCGCAAATGACACAATCAATATGAAACTTGTTTTCCTTATTTCCACTAAGAAAGTCGTTTTTCTCATTTTTAAAGGATTTTATTTCGTACCAAAAATGAAAATATTTTCCTTCGTACCCAACACACACCATAAATCAAGTGAAGCAACCCAAACTAAGCAAAGCCCCAACTTATTCAAGACAAGAAGTAAGAATAACATCTAAAAAGACCAGGAAAAAGGAAACACACTAAAAGTGGAAAAATAAGTACATCTAAAAAATATTTAAGCCAACCGAACATAAAAAAATTGGAAACAGAAAATATTTTCCTCCGTACCAAACGCACCGAAAGTGGAAGATTAGGGGAAATGACTATTCAATCTTCTGCATTTGAATACTAAGAAAGAAAGAATCAATTGGATAATTTATAGACAACATCAAAGTGTAGAGGAAAAAAAAGATGAATCCTACACAAGTATGTCTATCTACTAGCTCAGATGCCCGTATTCAGCCATTGATACATATTTATGAAGCAACAAAAACTCTAAAGAGTAGAAGATGAAGAAATTTGAGAGAGAAGTAAAACCCTAGTTTTGCTTTCAATTACAAAGCCCCAAATCACCACCACCGCTGCTCGCCGGCCAGTTTTCCGGTCAGGTTCATTTTTTTTGTTTTTTTGAATTTATTTTTCAATGCTATGTAAGATTTTCATTTTAGATTGCCATGTGAAATTATTATTTTTGTGTGGAATTGATTTTGTATAATAATTTTAATTATTTTTTTTTGTGTGTGTATATGCCCTTGTTCTGTGTTCTGAGAATTTGTGTTGGAGATATGAAAAAAGTTTAAAATTGATAATGATTATGTATGGTTACTATTAGAAATGGAAATAGCCTTCGGTGTGTCTCTACGATGTAGGGGTAAGCTCTGTGTACAATGGGGTGTGTTGTTGTGATGATTGTGTAGTTATGTTGAGGTGATTCACTTGGTTTTAGAAGATCTAAATCCCAGTATTACTATTCGGAATGGTTAGATTTCCAACTTTGTTGCTGGTGGGAGGTGACATGTATCTAGTGGAATTAATTGAGGTGTGCGGAAGCTGGTTTGAAGACCACGGTTATCATACCAAAAATAAAGAATAGTAGCTTTCCCCCTTTTGAATTTTGATGAGTACTTGATTTTATTTTATTTTTGTATGCTCTTGTTATGTGTTCTGAGAATGAGTTTGAGATATGAAAAATGTTTAAAATTGGTAATAATTATGTGTAATTACTATTTGAAACAACCGATCTATCTCTACGAGCTATGAGTAGGGGTAAGGTTTGTATACACTGGGGTATGTTGTTGTTGAAGTGATTCACTTGGTTTTAGAATATCTAAATCCTAGTATTACTATTCGGAATAGTTAGCTCTCCAACTTTGATGTTGGTGGGAGGTGACAGGCATCCCGTGGAATTAGTTGAAGTGAGTGAAAAGATGGCCCCGACACCTCGGTCTTCCCCCTTTGAATTTTGATGAGTATTTGAATTGTATATGATGATAAGCTTCTTGAATCTACCTTCAATCATCAGAAGAAGAAGAAGAAGAAAATTGAATCTGATCTTGCATAAAAAAATCTTGTCATTTGGTGTTAGGTGTTGCATCTGCTTGCGCAAATTCTGCCTGTTGTGTTGTGTTGCTTCATGGAATCTCAAAAGATGACAAAGAGAGCGGCAATGTCATCTTCTGCTGTGTCGGTTCGTGATAACGTGATCAATTTGGAAGGTATTTAATCTCTTGATAAGTATGAATGATGGCATCATGTTCGTTCAGAATCTTTGTCGTTTACCCCTAAAAGATTTGTTTACTATTATTTCAGTTTGTGAAAGATCAATCCGTTCAGAAGGTGAATCTCTCAATAAGTTGGATGATGATACACTCGTTCAAATTCTTTGCGGTTTACCCCTTAAAGATGCGGCAAGAACGAGTGTCCTTTCACGTAGATGGAGGCACTTATGGCGCCGTTCACTCATGCATCCGTTGAATAATATGTAAATTTCCATCAAGAACCGAATGCTAGTACTGTGACCCGTAAAGTGAGTATTCTTGCATAAATTTTCTAGTCCTTTTTTAAACTCAAGCTTATTCCTAGTTCTATGGATGATTAGATTTATTTTACCATCAAGAAGCAAGTCAAGAGCTTGTTTTACAGCTCCAATTGAGAAACAATTTATTCCGTTGATGAAGTGCTTTTATTTATTTGTCGTTTCATAAGTTTTCTCGTTTACATGTTAACAAGGAAGAAATCGAAACCTTTTTTATCAAATCTGCATTATCTGGAACGTTCACGCATAGGTGATATGTCTCCGAAGAATTGAAAGTAAACGACACATCACTGTCCTTTTGGAGTTTGATGTGTGCTTTTACATTCACAGAGTTACTTTGTTGTATTCAATTAAAGCATTCCATTGTAGGGCTATAGTCTTTTAACATGTATAGTGATATCAAGGCTCATTCTCAGCTCGTAAAGCTTGTCTCGGAGTGATTGTGGTCAAGCTTGATTTTGACTGGTTCTACTATTTTCAAGTGCTCGAATTTGACACAACGATGCAAATTAAGTACTATAGACTTTCTTTCATCCTTGGTTAGCGTATTTCCCTTGATATATTTAAAATCGTTGTGTGGAAAAGAAAGAGAATCGTAGTGTATCTAAATTTTAACCTATATATGTCGATTGTCAAGATATACTCCCTGTAAATACGTATTTAACGGATTCTTTTTTGCCATCACATTGCAGTGAATCTTGAGATGATGTTTATAAAACAGATGTTGTGAAGATAATAGAGAAAGCAGAGGAAGATAGCAAAGTTACCTTTAGGTGATTTACATGAAAATGTTCATAGCTAAAATATTTTAGATACTTTTTGTTGTTCTTTGGTTCATACCAAAGATGTTCTTTTTTTCTTTTCTTCACCCCCCCCCCCCCCCACCCCACCCCAAAACCCCCTTTTAAGTTAATGTGACATTTGGTTTATGGAATTGCATGAAAAATAATCAGAAGTGTTCATCCAACTTCTGAATTTTTCTTTGCAAAACATAGAAGGAAATGCATATTTGTCATCTTACAAATAGTGTTTCTTTGTTGTCTTTTCCCTTTCTTGAAGTGGACGTTAACGTTGTGTGATTTACAAGAATGACCTTGGAGGAGGTCGGTGTCTGAACTTTTGACCTCGCGGACAAAACTTCTAATCTTGAAGCTTTGCCCGAGCCAAGGTCATTGAGGTGTAATTTATTGGTAAACGACACATAAAAGAATACTTGAGCCTAGAATCTATCGGAAACAACCTCTCTATCTTTATGAGGTAGGGGTAAGGTCTGTATATGTTCTACCCTCTCGAGACCTCACTTGTGGAATAATACAAAAGACATGTTTCTTCAATAAACAACATTTCTTCATAAAAAGGAAAAGAACCTAGTCTACCAATTGAAGTAAAATTCCAAATCTCAAATTCATTTTCAGGAAAGGCATAAAAGATTGCAACATAAAGTAGTATATATAATAAGGTCCTAATAGACCTTAAAACTCACAACTTAATTGTCTTTTTAACAATCTTGAGTAAATTAATCTTTGTGAAATGGAAAATATGAGATTCAAAGTTGAAACTGTGGCAAGTAGTAAATTAAAAGGAGCAACATGGGAAGATGTTGATGTTGGTGATATTGCAATGATTTTTATTTCTTATGGCATAACAGTTAGCCATCTCCAATTTTTATATGTCAATGATGGAAAATTTTCTCTATCTGTGAGACATGGTGATCCTATAGAAAATCTTGAAATTGTAAGTTCCACTTTTATTGTTTCGTGTTGTGTCTTCTTTACTGTTGTATTTTGTTTTCCAAAATGTTTTACTTGTGCCAATGGTCTGTCGGAAACAATCTTTCTACCTCCGTAAGGTAAGGGTAAAGTTTGCATACCTCATGGCCCATATCATGGGATTTACTTAGCATGTTGTTGTTGATGTTGTACATGCCAATGGTCTATTTGCTCTACGAGGTAAGGGTAAGACTTGCGTATATTCTATTACCCTCCTCAGATTCAACGTTGTATCACTAATTTGTTTGCTCCAATTGAAATTTTGTTCTTCATTAAACATGTTTTGCCCTTGATTTAGATAGACTCTAGAAAAAAAAGTGATTGTTGTTGTTATATTTTGATTTCATTATCTATGATTGAGTCGTAATTTTTTTTGAATAGGACATACGCTACGTCTCAATCAAATTTGTTTTGGTATCTTTTTTAGTTGCTCTAGAAAAATTAGGAGATCTCTATCTATAAGAGATACATGATTCATTCTACTTCTGATTAGCAATGTATCAACAATGATCATCGAGGATTCATATAGTCGATAACAACTCACTTAATACAATACATGTTTGGTGTGTAAGTTGATGTCACATGTGGTCATCAAACTTTTCCCGTTATATCAATAGAGTCACAAAACTATCTTTTGTATCATTAAAATCACTAAACTTTACCTGTTATATACAAAACTAACCCCAAACATTTAATTTTATCT